GAAGAACAGAAGGTGAACTGGGATCACACAATAATTAAGAACAAAAGAGAGAAGAAAATGAAGCTACAGTGGCCTGAATGTAAGGAGGACACAGCTAATGCTAGTCTTCCTGCAACAGGAGAACTCACAAAGATGGACAATCAGACTGACATTTTAAAAAGCATTAAAAATCATATCAAAGCTAAAACTGTTGCCATTGAAGCAAATAATAAATCCATACCAGAGCTTCCAGCTACGATTAACCTTCTGAAACAAGAAAAACTCGGTGATGAAGATCTCCTGGGAACCAGGCTCGTTACAAGAGACGCTGGAACCCGAGGGAGACCAGATGGTCGATGAGAACCTAAGGGAATCCATCACTGGGATCCTCACTGGGATCATCCTGGGATCCTCACTGGGATCATCCCAAGATCCTCACTGGGATCATCCTGGGATCCTCACTGGGATCATCCTGGGATCCTCACTGGGATCATCCTGGGATCCTCACTAGGATCATCCTGGGATCCTCACTGGGATCATCCTGGGATCCTCACTGGGATCATCCTGGGATCCTCACTGGGATCATCCTGGGATCCTCACTGGGATCATCCCAAGATCCTCACTGGGATCATCCTGGGATCCTCACTAGTCCTGTCTCCATGGATACGGTCCACCCTGTTGACAGATCGGAGCCGCCGTCGCTCCAACAACCGACCCAGAGCTTCATGTTCGGTTCGGGATGCGAACTGCAGGATGAGGCCTGGAGGAAACAGATGCTGAAGTTTGTAAGGAAAAGCAGATCAGCTTGAAGGACAGGATGAAACCTGGAGGAAGGTTTCACCCTGACGACCTGCACCCTAACCCACCGCCATGTTGCTTCCCCCCACTGGTTGGTATCTGTTTAAAGGGCTAATGCGCTATTCCTTACAGCTGTTACTGGCTCTCATCTCATTCCTGCTCAGCGTTCCTGGCAGTTCCTGTGTTTATTTCATGTTATCTTTACTTTCACTTAATACAAGAGGTTTAAAAAATATTGTTAGGGTAGGGTTAGGCTTAGGGTTTTAGTTCTGGGTTATGATTTATAAAGGTTCTTTGTTGGATCATATCAGTGATACACAAGGCCACTGGGTAACTAATAGTGGAGATTGGTGGAAACAAGATCATTTTGGTGTGTGTATATGGACATAATAATAAAGCGATAATAATATATTTTTCTGACCTAATGATAAAACAATGGAAAATAAAATATTGCACTGATCAGGTTATCTTAGGAGGAGATTTTAATGCAACTCCAGATGGATCGCTTGATCGTCTCCCCTCTAGGGGCAGCACCACATTTATAATGATATCTTCAATATTCCTGGTTCAATCCTTCCGGAAACGGCCAATGCTCTAGGCCAGATTACTGGTTAATCCCTCATAATCTGGTAAATAATATTTCAAACTGTGAAATCTCAGCGGCTCCTCTAACAGATCATTGCTCTGTTACCTTGTTTCTCTCTCTGAATGAATGTAAACCTTCAAACTTAGCTTGGAAGTTTAATAGTAATCTCCTGGATAATAACAGAAACTGATTATTAAGTGAAGGCCTGGATTTAATCCACACAGCAATTAGAAATTGTTCTAGTGATCTTTATAGTTCCAGGTATTCAGAATCCAATGCCAGTGTCTGTTTGATGGAATTCAGGAGTCTGTTGAAAAAATGAATCTTGATTTTAAAAACCTTTTGGATTTGAGACTCGAAGAGACGAAGCAACAACACAACAAACAGTAAAACTCCTGGATGAGACGCTGAATTTCTACTTTCTGTTGAGAAGATTTATGAAAACTATTACTTGAGGCCCTGCTGGATGAATTTCAGACAATAATGTTTCCACCATGAAACAAGGTCTGATCCACGAAACAAAGATCCTTTATCACAAGACAATTGGAGACCTGTCACTCTGATTATAACTGTAGATCATTACCATGATTAATGAATGCCAGTCAGTTCTTAAGTAGCTCAGTTTCTCTGTCAAGAATCAGGCAGGGCTTCCCAGTTTCACACACAATTATTCACATTAACAACTCAAACGCTGGATGTTATGTTTCTGACAGAAACATGGTTGAATGACAATAATGACCAAACTCTACTAATTGAATCAATGCCTCCTAACTACAATTTGTTAAGTGAGAATAGAAAACATAAAAAAGGAGGAGGCGTGGCTTCTATATTAAAGAAAACCATAAATTGTAGTAAAATTTCTTTGGGTCATTTCACATCTTTTGAGTATCTTGGAATTCAGGTTAAAGGCTTCAAACGAACTTTGACACTAACTTTATACAAAACTCCAACATATGTGGAAAATTTCTTTACTGACTTGAATGATCTTCTTTCTCTCATATGCACTGATTATGATTGTTTAATAATTGTTGGTGATTTCAACATTCATGTGGACAAACCCAAAAACAGAGGAGCAAAAAAGCTCTCTGATATTTTAGAAAATGTTGGTTTAACACAACATGTTAAACAAGCAACACACACTCAAGGACACACACTGGACCTGGTTATCAGTGAGGGTGTGAATATTTCCAATGTCTCTGTAACTGATGTCGCCTGTCGGATCACTTTGCTGTTATCTATGAAGGTTCTTTATTCTTTGACCCACTTGGACAAACAGCTACTGTCACAAAACGTTCTTTCACAGAAAACAGCAGAAACAATTAATCAAATCTACTCTTCCTCCTCACCTTAAGCTGTAATGATGTAGATAAGTTGGTAGATGATTTTCAGTCTAAAGTTTCATATATCATTGATTCTATTGCTTCAATTAAAGTAAAGGTTGTGTCTGGTAGGAAGAAATCTCCATGGAGAAAAGCACAAACAGTTCGATCTGCAAGAGAACTCTGTCTCAGAGCAGAACCAAAAATGGAGTAAAACTCAACTTCACGTTCATAACGACATCTATGAAGAAACTACGTAACTATCACTCAACACTAAAACATGCAGATGTCATAAACAAAAACATGAACAATGCTGGAGCTTTATCCATTTTAATGTTTTTCTCTCAGTATGTAGGGTTAGGGTTAGTAATGCAGTCGGGCATCTTGTCCCAGAAGCATGGTGCAGCGCACTCTTCCTCTTGCCCATATATGGAAGACGCTGCCACAGAGCACAGCCATTCACATCAAACCTCTTAACGAATCATCAGATCTCAGCGATCGACCTGTTGTTAGTTTAACTTCTTGTTGGGTTAGAATTATTTCTGGATTGTTGTAGGTAACATATTTCTAGAGGGAGAGACGTTTGGAGCGGCGCTGACCGGCTTCACTTTAGAGAAGATCATTTCTTATTATTCTTTGGATACTTAAGGTGCTCGTCTAACCTGATGTCTTTTGTGTAAGTTGGCCTGCTACTGTTTCAGTTTTAGCTCAGAAATGTTTTTGTTTAGTTATGCTTGATGAAAAGCATTTCCTTTTTCTGGTTTTGTTTAGAGAAGAGGAGTTTCTATTGTCCAGCCCTGTGGCTGGTTTTAAAGGACCTGTCTGTCCCCGTTTTATTGAGCTTGATAAATAAAATAAAAAACTAGAAGGAGAGTTTTTCTTTTCTTTGCTTTATTCACCAGGGATTTTGTTTGGGAACACCTGGGTGGATTTTGTTATATTTGTGGTTTTATTATTATTATTCCTCCCCCAAGCAGACTAATTTTATTTAATTGGGTAATAATTTTTTCAGCTATAAGGTTCCCAGGGGCAGCATAGACTTCAAGTGAGGTCATTCTTGTACTATAAAATAAACTGTGACTATTTATCAATCACATTAAATGCATGTAATTTTCAAGCAGCGCCTCTGTTAATCTGTGACTGTAAAGAGGATCTCAGGTTCTCTTCACCCAAGGCCACATTAATAAACAGAAGCAAAGAAAAGGTCTGAAACAGTACCAGACGATCCCTGGTCGGAACCAGAGGCTGGATCTGCAGTTCTGACCTGTAACTCGGAACCAGTCTTCTGAAAGCAGGGCTTTGGGGCTGTTGAAAATGGACTTATTTGGCGGTGTGTATGTCACTTTAAGAGCTTAGGGAGCCATCTAGGTGGGCTTCGCTCTGATTGGTTCATTGTTGTTATCTCAAGCTACAATTAGTTGTGGACAGAGCACATGTTCAGTTTTTCGTTGGAAAGTAATGATTGGAAGCCGTTCAGAGCTGTTGTTTCAGAGATTGGGAGTGCGTAATAAATAAAAGTAAGTTGAATCATTATTTAATCAAGATTTGTTTATCTGTACACCTTAAACATATACATTATAGTAGTTTAAAGAGTTACGGTTATGATAATGTGATTTGTAGTTTGTTATCATTTGCTGCCATCTACTGGACAAGTTGGTAATAGCCGTTTGTAATGAGCGAAAATAATAGCTCCTATTTGTTTGTCCTTTGTATTTTCTAGACCACTCTCATCTCTATTAAAGGAACTCAAAACCTGAAACGTTTTTATCATTCCTTACCGAATGCTCGTGGTGGCTGTCATATTAAAGAACAACAAGTAAAGGGAGCACAACAGGGGCCAAGGTTCAAGTTTAAGTCCTTTTAAACCGCCTCTCGCGAGACATCTGCTTCTTTTTACCCGCGAGCAGTTTCACTGTGCGCCACACTCGCGAGATTAAGGTACCAAGTTTATGGGCCTCTTTCTGAATAAAACAATCCGAGTTTCAATCCGGGACGAGGAAAATCAGAGCCAGTAGAACCAGTTACGAATTTATCATCTGTGTTTTCGAAAGTTATTTGGTACATATACATAAAAAAACCACCAGGTGCTACTAACGTGAAACTTGATTCTTCTCAGTTTAGGGAAATTTAGTTTCAAGGCGGTTAGCTGCGCCGCAGGGCGCATGCGCATCCAGAAGACGGTTTTCCGTTATTCTTCCGACAGAAGCTGATTTTAGTGATTGTTTAGTCTATTTAGGAGTTGAACTCACCGCTACAGAAGAACGAAGCTGAAGAGTCTCTTAAATCTTGACCCGGATGTAGAATCAGCTTCCGGGTCAGAACTACTTCTTCCGGTGTGTATCTGCTGAACGCCGCGTTATATCGCCGCGAAAGCAGCTTGTCTGTCAGATAGTGACCAGGTGACGGCGGCGCACGGAGGCCCCGGTCTGCAGGTAAACTCCTGGACCCTCTGAGGTCACCTGGAAACCAATTTAACCAGTTAAACCAGCGGTAGAGGCTTTCATCGAGCTGGACTCTGGAGGAGATCGGAGCGAAGGTGTCCACAGCTGTGCCTGATCAGAAAACCGCAAACAAATTAGTTGCTGTGGTGCTGAAGGTTGTTGGTTCCGATTGGACTGCAGGCTATCTGTAGATCCCGTCCGGTTCTGTTTGAAGATTAAATTACGGGCGGATCCGATGTTTGTAGTTTAAACCGAAACAGGACCGGTTTATAACTCAGATTCCGGTTCCGATCTGAAAAGCTGTAGCTTCAATCGGTTGATCACTTGTGGAGTGTGTTAACATCCCGGTTCCGTCGGTCCGGATCCTCATGATCTCACTAGAACAGCAGCAGATCTGTGACCAGAAGGGGGCGCCAGTCGCTTCAGTATTTCTGTTCTCATTTAAAACGCAGCAAGCCTTGATTGTTGTGGTGAAAATGCAGCTGCATTAATTAGTTCCTGGTTTATTAAGATGAGACCACGCCCACAGAGCGCCTGCCTCAGCTGTGACCAGTTTATCTGGAACAGCTCTTGATCCTGACCAATCGATGAGCAGCAACTTGTTAGGGCTATCTAGTGGATGATCTGCAGAAATCTAACCTGGCCTTCCAGGTTTTTCACATGACACTATTGGGTCATCAGGGTTCATTCAGGACAAACGTATTGATCGTTTATTGATCAAACTGTTCTGTTGTGTTCAGGAGCCGGCTGGAGCGAAGATGCTGCGTAGGAAACCGACTCGATTGGAGCTGAAGATCGACGACACCGAGGAATTCGAGAGCGTTAAAAAGGAGCTGGAGGTTCAGTCAACCCCTTATCTGTTCCGACCCGTCTGGTTCCGACCCGATCATCATGTCAGTTCTCTCTTCAGGCCAGGAAACAACAGAGAGAGGAAGCGGGGCCAGGAGCTGGAGTGAGCGGGGCTTCTGTCATTGGTGTTGATGTGATTGGGGGCGGAGCCTCTGCGTCCTCCACAGCTGCTTCCAGGGCGGAGCTTATCAACGAGCGAATTGGCTACAAGCCTCACCCCAAACCGGCGACGCTCCCGACCTTATTTGGAAGTTTACAATTTTAATAGTTTGGACAGATTGAAGAGGCTGTTGGTTTATTGGTTTATTTGCAGATAAATTTAGTCAATAGGAATCCAGCAGCTTTTAGTTCACTGCAGTAAAATAGACCATTCAGAACAGCGCTGTCGACACCTGCAACATCATCCAGGAAGTGCGACAACCCGGACTGCTGCTGCATCCCAGAATTCATCGCTGCATGTGACATTTTCAGTTAAATGGCAAAATTATGGCAATGTTTTTGTTTTCTTTCTAGAAAATTCTAATAGTTCAGTAAGGCACACATTATTGAAAAGGTTTGAGCAGAAAGAAGAAGAAATAAGAGATAAATCACAAACCGAGGAAAGTAAATTCTTGCAAATGCAAGAGGAATTTCAAATCTTAAATTAAACTTTCAACATCTTAGAAAGATTGGGATTTTATGGTGGAACTCAAATTATTTCACTTTAAAAATGGAGGAATCTTTAAAAAGTAGTTTTTGTGGATAAAAATGTAGCCAGAGTATTAAATCGTTAATATTATAATTTAACGTGTCATTCCGTTAGACGAAATTTTATAATATTAAAACATAAAGATGGAATAGATTTCTCATGCAATATCAACTTCTGAAAATCTTTCTAAAAATATTCATGATGTTGCAATTAAGTCTTTCAGTCACAAATATCTGAATTTTTATGTTCTTGTCAGAAAGTTGCTACAAGGACAAACTTCATATATAATTTAGATTTTTTTTTGTGGAAGTGGAATAGAACTCTATTTGGTTCTTATTTTGTTTTGAGACACTGTGACTTTCAGACAAAAAGTGACAGTTTCTCATGAAGCTGACAATGTTTCAACATCCAATTTAACAGCAATTCCTCCTGCTATAATTCAGCTAATTAAAGATGTTACATTTTAATCTGTATTTTGACAGACCATCACAATAAAAATCTGCCTTCTTGGAAATGCAGTTGTTCACTGAGAAAAAAACAGCTTTCTAGAGTATCGAAATACTCTGTTTCTCTGAACATGTGATTACATCGAATTTTACTCTGAACTCAACCAGTCACAGCAAAATGTCTGAACCAGGGGTGTCAACATCCAACGTCCTGCAACTTTTAGATGTGCCTCTGCTGCACCTGAATAGAATAATAGGTCATTAGCAAGACTCTGGAGAACAAGGAGGAGGTAATTAAGCCATTTCATTCTTGTGTTTTGTACCTGTGGCACATCGAAAAACTGCAGGACACCTTGAGGACTGAAGTTTGACACCCATGATTTAAACAGCCAAATATCCCCAGGGGGCCTGTTGCGAGAAGCCTTCTTGGGGGCGTGGCCTGTTGCAAGAAGCCTTTTTGGGGGCGTGGCCTGTTGCGAGAAGCCTTCTTGGGGGCGTGGCCTGTTGCAAGAAGCCTTATTGGGGGCGTGGCCTGTTGCGAGAAGCCTTCTTGGGGGCGTGGCCTGTTGCGAGAAGCCTTCTTGGGGGCGTGGCCTGTTGCGAGAAGCCTTCTTGGGGGCGTGGCCTGTTGCGAGAAGCCTTCTTGGGGGCGTGGCCTGTTGTGAGACACCTTCTTGGGGGCGTGGCCTGCTGGGTTCGGCTCTGACTTCCCCAGCTGGTTCTGGTTTGCTGGACCAGAGGAGTTTCTTGTTGTCTTCATTATTATTTTATAAGTTTTCAACAGCATTTATGGTTTCATATTGCTGAGCTATACACACAGGAGGTCAAAGTTCAGAGCTCATTAGTGTCATTAGTGTCCTTCACCTTCATTAAACCAGACGAGTTTATGAAGTCTTATGATTTATTTTCATTATAAATGATACAAAATTTTATAACAAGTTTATAAAGGAAACGATTAGTGCTGAAAACAACAAAACACTGGAGTTCATTTACTGTGACAGTAGGTGGCGCTCAGTTCTCACAAAGCCCAGAAAATGATGGTGACCAATCAGGAGTCACGTTTTGTTAGCATGACGCCATTTAGAGGGAAGTTTAGTGGAAGGCAGACTGGACGGGGCCTGAGGCGACTGACAGCTGGCTGTCAGAAATAAAACTAATTAAAAAATAAATAAAGGAGAAAAAAGAGCTTTAACGTGGAGCTTCTGTCGCCATGGTTACAGTCCAGGAAGTGCTCTGGGGGCGGGGCTTAGTGGCATTTCTTCACATTGTGTCTATAAAAATGGCTGAATTGTCTATTTAGGCACCGTGTTTACATGTTCTTGGCTGTTTCTGTGGCGACAGCACCTGTATTGTCTGACAGGAAGCGGCCGCAGGCCTCACTTCCTCTCCATGGCCGCCAGCTAACGCAGGCCCCGCCCCCTGTGAGCGTGGCCTCGCCTCACTTCCTCTTGATGGCCGCCAGGTCTCTCTGCAGCTCTGAGAACTTGGGCCGGTCCTCCGGGTTGTACTGCCAGCAGCGCTGCATCACTTTGTACACGTCGTCAGGGCAACGCTGAGGACACGACATCCTGTAGCCTGGCAACCAAAAGACATCTCCACGGTCACCGCTAACCCTTTGATGGTGGCGACAGGCGGCGGCGCCCGCTTACCTTTCTCCACCTGCTCCCTGGCCTGCTGATTGGTCATCCCTGGGTACGGACACACCCCCAGGCTGAAGGTCTCCCACAGCAGGATGCCGTAGCTCCACACGTCGCTCTCTGAGCTGTAGCGACCTGCGGAGCACAGCCAGTCAGCAGACAGTCGCCAAGCGGCTTCGGGAGTGGGCGTGGCCAGCCGTTACCGTAGTTCAGGGCCTCAGGCGCGTCCACTTGATGGGAATCTGCTTGAGTCCAGAAGAAGAATAAACGCCGTCATCTTCCTGCCGACTCATCCCGAAGTCGCTGATCTTCAACACGTTGCTTTCACCCACCAGACAGTTCCTGGCGGCCAGGTCCCTGGGGGTCAAAGGTCACAGTCACACAGCGCTCCACCAAGCCAGCTGCTTGCCTGAGTGACCGTACTCACCTGTGGATGCAGTTTTTACTCTCCAGGTACGCCATGCCGGCAGCAGCGTCCACAGCGAAGCGAACCAGCTGCTTCGTCTTCAGTTCGTCTTTCTTCTTCCTCAGGAATGACAGGAAGTCCCCGCCTGGTGGAGAAGCAGCCGCTCGGTTACGGCCAATAGGAAGCCAGCAGCAGATGGCCAGCCAATAGGAAGTGGAGGCTCCACCCACCTGAAACCAGCTCCATGACGATGTAGATGGGTTGCCTCTGAGTGCAGACGCCGATCAGCTTCACGATGTTGGGATGGTCGTATTGCTTGAGGATCCTGCAGCCAATCAGGTGAGAGCTTTAGCGGTTTTCTTCTTCTATGTTGATGGTTTGAAGTGACCTGAGAGCTCACCTGGCCTCAGACAGGAAGCGGATCTTCAGCTCTGGAGGTAAATCCTCTTTACATGTTTTGACGGCAAGGCACTTTGTCTCGCTGCAGCGTTCCTTGAAGACCTCGCCAAAGTTACCCTGGCAACAGGCAAAGGCATTATGGGACACGGGAGCATCTAGATATGGCACGAGGTGACTGATGGAGGGGGGAAACAGGAAGTGAGGTCACCTTTCCTAGTAGTTCTCCCAGCACAACATCTTCATGGTTCAGGATCCACTTCTTGTCCTGAAGAGGAAACCAGACTTTCAAGATGGCGGCTCGTTGCAGCAGCTGCCGTGTTCATTCCTATTGGTTCTTCATCGCCGCCCAAAAGGCCCAGAGGTGTAACCACAGTTCATGCATTGAACTCGGGATGAAGTCTGAGCGCGGACCAATCACACGCGCCAGCGCAGCTGGATCTCTAAAGTTTCCCTGCTTTACCTCCTTTCACTCAAACTGGACTCACCTGTGTGGGTATTTCTATCAACCTGTGAAGATTCATGTTTCTCTGTAGAATTCATCACGTCTAAAAGCCACAGCGCTAGCTCTGCTCACGCAGCTCAATGTGAGCCGCTAATGTACAAGAAAAAAAGCAAGAATTAAGCAATGTTTTATGAAAGAAAATTTTAAATAATTTTTCTAAAAAAATAAACAAGCAACATTTAGCCTGTAAAGGCTTTTAATACAGTTGGGAAAACCCTGATTTCTGGCCCTGAAGTCCTGGAGGCCCTGAAGCAGAATCTGACTTAATGTGGATTAAACAGAAAAGCAAATAATTAACAATTTGAATCATATTTTTTGTGGTTTTTAAGACTATTGTTGTGGGTTTAAACACATATTTACCCAGCAATATTTTACATTTCCTGTCAACAACTTTTAATACAAACCATGAAGGACGGTCTCGGCGCCGCTGTAACCCCAACCCTAACCTTAACCCTGACCCTAACCCCAAGCCTGACCTTAACCCCAACCCTGACCTTAACCCTGACCTTAACCCCAAGCCTGACCTTAACCCCAAGCCTGACTTTAACCCCAACCCTGACCCGGGACCGACTGACGGACCGGTCCGTTCCGATTTATGTCTGAAATGCTTCTGAAAACAGCGAGGCGGTGCTAACGGTCAGTCTGGTCAGGTCGGTGATTTGATTGGCTTTGTGTCAGTAGAATTCGGCCCATTCATCACACACCTGTGCAGGTGTGTGATGGCGGGTTACCTTGACGACCGGGTTAAGCAGGACGACCCCAGACTTCTTGGTGATGACCTGCTTGGAGGAGAAGTGATGCTCGATGAGCTGAGGGATGGTGGGGAAGCCCGTCCCTTCAAACCGGTACTGACTCTACCAGAGAGAGAGAGAGGAGCCGGTGGTGGGTTCGGTGACCTCTGACCCCACCTTCTCCGGTGGGCCTGAGCGTGAGAATACGTACGTCGGCGAATTGGATGATGAAGTGCCGCCTCTGGTCGTCAGAGAACACCGACAAGACGTACTCGCCCGGCTTCCCGTGGCTTTCCCTCACCAGGAAGTCCCCCTGATGCCGTAGCAACTCCTGAGCCTCGGTGCGGGGGATGGCCCCGTGGTACCACTCCTGCTCCGCCAGGGGGCGCTCCGACGTGGGAATCACATCAAAGAACTGCTACTCAAACGAAGGCCAGAAGAAGAAGACATGACCAGCGAGACCAAAGCACAGACAGAGAAACGCTGTGGAAGGACGACCCACCGAAGTGGAGGAGCCCAGCACGGCTTTGGGCGAGCGCATCATGCCGGCCAGCGAGTGGCGCAGCGTATCGAAGCGGGAGCTCTTCTCCTTCTTGTCCTGCAGGCCAGAGGGTCAGAGGTCAGGAGGAGAGCCGGCTGTCATCGCTCTGAAACGCCACCTTCACCACCGTCGATGACACCGAGCGCGTGTCGTCCTCATACTGCAGTGCTGGCGGCGGGGAAGCGACCGCAGCGGTAATCTTGGCGTCCAGCAAGGCCTTCTGGGAGAGGAGGCAGGCCTCTGAGCTGCGCAGTGATTGGACGGCCTGACGCAGCTCCAGCAGGGACAACTTCTGGCTCAGCAATAGGACGCAGCTGCAGGTGAGAGAGACAGGTGAGGCCTGGCTCCGCCCCCTTCACCCCACTGGGTGAGGCCTGGCTCCGCCCCCTTCACCCCACTGGGTGAGGCCTGGCTCCGCCCCCTGCCGGCCAGCCGGCTCAGGAGGAGAGCCGGCTGGAGCCAGGCCTCACTAGGTGAGGCATGGCTCCGCCCCCTTCACTCACTCGCTTTTCCTGTCGGCGTTCTGCTGGCCGGTCTGGATCCGGGCCTCCAGGTCGTCTGCCAGCGTCTCCTTCTCCTGCAGGTTCTTCTGGGTCAGCGCCAACTCCTCCGTCTTCCACGATAACCTGGACAGGAGGTCAGAATGGGCTTTTACTCTCGAAGGCCACAGGAAGTGCTTTTATGCAGCAGGCGCTCACGTGTTCTGCAAGCTGTCTGCCGTTAGCGTGTTCCACAGGATCTCGTTGGCCGGGATGTTTTCCGTCTCGTCCAATAGGGACGCATCGAACTCCACGTTCGCCTCCGGTGGCACCGGCGACCTGACCGCGGGATGAATGGATGGTTACTACGGCGAGCGGGCATCGCCGCAGCCTTCGCAAGGCGGGCCGGACTCACCTGTAGGCGTCGATGAAGTGCTGGTACTCGGCCAGCGGGTCTATCTGCTGGACGGACGCCGAGATCTCCCGATGGACGCCGACGACTTCCTCCGTCAGCAGACTGCTGATCTCACAGTACTCCTCCAGGATACTTTTACTAGAGTACACAGAGGTACCTGAGAGTACTACAGACTAGGTACTACAGAGGTACCAGAACTACAGAGTACACACAGACACCAGAGGTACCATGCAGTACTTCAGGGTACTACAGAGTACACAGAGGTACCTGAGAGTACTACAGGGTACTACAGAGTACACAGAGGTACCTGAGAGTACTACAGGGTACTATAGAGTACACAGAGGTACCATGCAGTACTACAGGGTACTACAGAGTACACAGAGGTACCTGAGAGTACTACAGGTACTACAGAGTACACAGAGGTACCATGCAGTACTACAGGGTACTACAGAGTACACAGAGGTACCTGAGAGTACTACAGGGTACTACAGAGTACACAGAGGTACCTGAGAGTACTACAGGGTACTATAGAGTACACAGAGGTACCTGAGAGTACTACAGGGTACTACAGAGTACACAGAGGTACCTGAGAGTACTACAGGGTACTATAGAGTACACAGAGGTACCTGAGAGTACTACAGGGTACTACAGAGGACACAGAGGTACCATGCAGTACTACAGGGTACTATACAGTACACAGAGGTACCATGCAGTACTACAGGGTACTACAGAGTACACAGAGGTACCTGAGAGTACTACAGGGTACTATAGAGTACACAGAGGTACCTGAGAGTACTACAGAGTACACAGAGGTACCATGCAGTACTACAGGGTACTACAGAGTACACAGAGGTACCATGCAGTACTACAGGGTACTATAGTACACAGAGGTACCATGCAGTACTACAGGGTACTACAGATTACACAGAGGTACCTGAGAGTACTACAGGGTACTACAGAGTACACAGAGGTACCTGAGAGTACTACAGAGTACACAGAGGTACCATGCAGTACTACAGGGTACTACAGAGTACACAGAGGTACCTGAGAGTACTACAGGGTACTATAGAGTACACAGAGGTACCATGCAGTACTACAGGGTACTACAGAGTACACAGAGGTACCTGAGAGTACTACAGAGTACTACAGTACACAGAGGTACCATGCAGTACTTCAGGGTACTACAGAGTACACAGAGGTACCATGCAGTACTACAGGGTACTACAGAGTACACAGAGGTACCTGAGAGTACTACAGAGTACTACAGAGTACACAGAGGTACCATGCAGTACTTCAGGTACTACAGAGTACACAGAGGTACCATGCAGTACTACAGGGTACTACAGAGTACACAGAGGTACCTGAGAGTACTACAGGGTACTATAGAGTACACAGAGGTACCATGCAGTACTACAGGGTACTATAGAGTACACAGAGGTACCATGCAGTACTACAGGGTACTACAGAGTACACAGAGGTACCTGAGAGTACTACAGGGTACTATAGAGTACACAGAGGTACCTGAGAGTACTACAGAGTACACAGAGGTACCATGCAGTACTACAGGGTACTATAGAGTACACAGAGGTACCATGCAGTACTACAGGGTACTACAGAGTACACAGAGGTACCTGAGAGTACTACAGGGTATTACAGAGTACACAGAGTACCTGAGAGTACTACAGGTACTATAGAGTACACAGAGGTACCTGAGAGTACTATAGAGTACACAGAGTACCTGAGAGTACTACAGAGTACACAGAGGTACCATGCAGTACTACAGGGTACTACAGAGTACACAGAGGTACCTGAGAGTACTACAGGTACTATAGAGTACACAGAGGTACCATGCAGTACTACAGGGTACTACAGAGTACACAGAGTACCTGAGAGTACTACAGAGTACTACAGAGTACACAGAGGTACCATGCATACTTCAGGGTACTACAGAGTACACAGAGGTACCATGCAGTACTACAGGGTACTACAGAGTACACAGAGGTACCTGAGAGTACTACAGGGTACTACAGAGTACACAGAGGTACCATGCAGTACTACAGGGTACTACAGAGTACACAGAGGTACCTGAGAGTACTACAGGGTACTACAGAGTACACAGAGGTACCATGCAGTACTACAGGGTACTATAGAGTACACAGAGGTACCTGAGAGTACTACAGGGTACTATAGAGTACACAGAGGTACCATGCAGTACTACAGGGTACTACAGAGGTACCATGCAGCACTACAGGGTACTACAGAGTACACAGAGGTACCTGAGAGTACTACAGAGTACACAGAGGTACCATGCAGTACTACAGGGTACTACAGAGTACACAGAGGTACCTGAGAGTACTACAGGGTACTATAGAGTACACAGAGGTACCTGAGAGTACTACAGGGTACTATAGAGTACACAGAGGTACCTGAGAGTACTACAGGGTACTACAGAGTACACAGAGGTACCATGCAGTACTACAGGGTACTATAGAGTACACAGAGATACCATGCAGTACTACAGGTACTACAGAGTACACAGAGGTACCTGAGAGTACTACAGGGTACTATAGAGTACACAGAGGTACCTGAGAGTACTACAGAGTACACAGAGGTACCATGCAGTACTACAGGGTACTATAGAGTACACAGAGGTACCTGAGAGTACTACAGGGTACTATAGAGTACACAGAGGTACCTGAGAGTACTACAGGGTACTACAGAGTACACAGAGGTACCTGAGAGTACTACAGGGTACTACAGAGTACACAGAGGTACCTGAGAGTACTACAGGGTACTATAGAGTACACAGAGGTACCTGAGAGTACTACAGAGTACACAGAGGTACCATGCAGTACTACAGGGTACTATAGAGTACACAGAGGTACCTGAGAGTACTACAGGGTACTATAGAGTACACAGAGGTATCAGAGAGTACTACAGGGTACTATAGAGTACACAGAGGTACCTGAGAGTACTACAGGGTACTACAGAGTACACAGAGTACCTGAGAGTACTACAGGGTACTATAGAGTACACAGAGGTACCATGGAGTACTACAGGGTACTACAGAGTACACAGAGGTACCATGGAGTACTACAGGGTACTACAGAGTACACAGAGGTATCATGCAGTACTACAGGGTACTACAGAGTACACAGAGGTACCATGCAGTACTTCAGGGTACTACAGAGTACACAGAGGTACCATGCAGTACTTCAGGGTACTACAGAGTACACAGAGGTACCTGAGAGTACTACAGGGTACTACAAGTACACAGAGGTACCATGCAGTACTACAGGGTACTACAGAGTACACAGAAGGTACCATGCAGTACTACAGGGTACTAGAGAGTACACAGAGGTACCTGAGAGTGCTACAGGGTACTATAGAGTACACAGAGGTACCTGAGAGTACTACAGGGTACTACAGAGTACACAGAGGTACCATGCAGTACTTCAGGCTACTACAGAGTACACAGAGATACCATGCAGTACTACAGGGTACTACAGAGTACACAGAGGTACCATGCAGTACTTCAGGGTACTACAGAGTACACAGAGGTACCATGCAGTACTTCAGGGTACTACAGAGTACACAGAGGTACCATGCAGTACTACAGGGTACTACAGAGTACACAGAGGTACCTGAGAGTGCTACAGGGTACTATAGAGTACACAGAGGTATCATGCAGTACTACAGGGTACTACAGAGTACACAGAGGTACCATGCAGTACTACAGGGTACTACAGAGTACACAGAGGTACCATGCAGTACTACAGGGTACTATAGAGTACACAGAGGTACCATGCAGTACTACAGGGTACTACAGAGTACACAGAGTTACCATGCAGTACTACAGGTACTACAGAGTACACAGAGGTACCTGAGAGTACTACAGGGTACTATAGAGTACACAGAGTACCATGCAGCACTACAGGTACTATAGAGTACACAGAGGTACCATGCAGTACTACAGGGTACTACAGAGTACACAGAGGTACCATGCAGTACTACAGGGTACTATAGAGTACACAGAGGTACCATGCAGTACTACAGGGTACTACAGAGTACACAGAGGTACCATGCAGTACTTCAGGGTACTACAGAGTACACAGAGGTACCATGCAGTACTACAGGTACTATAGAGTACACAGAGGTACCATGCAGTACTACAGGGTACTACAGAGTACACAGAGGTACCATGCAGTACTTCAGGGTACTACAGAGTACACAGAGGTACCATGCAGTACTACAGGGTACTACAGAGTACACAGAGGTACATGCAGTACTTCAGGGTACTACAGAGTACACAGAGGTACCATGCAGTACTACAGGTACTACAGAGTACACAGAGGTACCATGCAGTACTACAGGTACTACAGAGTACACAGAGGTACCTGCAGTACTACAGGGTACTACAGAGTACACAGAGGTACCATGCAGTACTACAGGGTACTACAGAGTACACAGAGGTACCATGCAGTACTACAGGGTACTACAGAGTACACAGAGGTACCATGCAGTACTACAGGTACTACAGAGTACACAGAGGTACCATGCAGTACTTCAGGGTACTACAGAGTACACAGAGGTACCATGCAGTACTACAGGGTACTACAGAGTACACAGAGGTACCTGAGAGTCTACAGGGTACTACAGAGTACACAGAGGTACCATGCAGTACTACAGGGTACTATAGAGTACACAGAGGTACCATGCAGTACTACAGGGTACTACAGAGTACACAGAGGGTACCATGCAGTACTTCAGGGTACTACAGAGTACACAGAGGTACCATGCAGTACTACAGGGTACTACAGAGTTACACAGAGGTACCTGAGAGTACTACAGGGTACTACAGAGTACACAGAGGTACCATGCAGTACTACAGGGTACTATAGAGTACACAGAGGTACCATGCAGTACTACAGGGTACTACAGAGTACACAGAGGTACCATGCAGTACGTCAGGGTACTACAGAGTACACAGAGGTACCATGCAGTACTACAGGGTACTACAGAGTACACAGAGGGACCTGAGAGTACTACAGGGTACTATAGAGTACACAGAGGTACCATGCAGTACTACAGGGTACTATAGAGTACACAGAGGTACCATGCAGTACTACAGGGTACTACAGAGTACACAGAGGTACCATGCAGTACTACAGGGTACTATAGAGTACACAGAGGTACCATGCAGTACTACAGGGTACTACAGAGTACACAGAGGTACCATGCAGTACTTCAGGGTACTACAGAGTACACAGAGGTACCATGCAGTACTACAGGGTACTACAGAGTACACAGAGGTACCTGAGAGTACTACAGGATACTACAGAGTACACAGAGGTACCATGCAGTACTACAGGGTACTAGAGAGTACACAGAGGTACCTGAGAGTGCTACAGGGTACTATAGAGTACACAGAGGTACCTGAGAGTACTACAGGGTACTACAGAGTACACAGAGGTACCATGCAGTACTACAGGGTACTATAGAGTACACAGAGGTACCATGCAGTACTACAGGGTACTACAGAGTACACAGAGGTACCATGCAGTACTACAGGGTACTACAGAGTACACAGAGGTACCTGAGAGTACTACAGGGTACTATAGAGTACACAGAGGTACCATGCAGTACTACAGGGTACTATAGAGTACACAGAGGTACCTGAGAGTACTACAGGGTACTATAGAGTACACAGAGGTACCATGCAGTACTTCAGGGTACTACAGAGTACACAGAGGTACCATGCAGTACTACAGGGTACTACAGAGTACACAGAGGGACCTGAGAGTACTACAGGGTACTATAGAGTACACAGAGGTACCATGCAGTACTACAGGGTACTATAGAGTACACAGAGGTACCATGCAGTACTTCAGGGTACTACAGAGTACACAGAGGTACCATGCAGTACTTCAGGGTACTACAGAGTACACAGAGGTACCATGCAGTACTACAGGGTACTACAGAGTACACAGAGGTACCTGAGAGTACTAGAGGGTACTACAGAGTACACAGAGGTACCATGCAGTACTACAGGGTACTATAGAGTACACAGAGGTACCATGCAGTACTACAGGGTACTACAGAGTACACAGAGGTACCATGCAGTACTACAGGGTACTATAGAGTACACAGAGGTACCATGCAGTACTACAGGGTACTACAGAGTACACAGAGGTACCATGCAGTACTTCAGGGTACTACAGAGTACACAGAGGTACCATGCAGTACTACAGGGTACTACAGAGTACACAGAGGTACCTGAGAGTACTACAGGATACTACAGAGTACACAGAGGTACCATGCAGTACTACAGGGTACTAGAGAGTACACAGAGGTACCATGCAGTACTACAGGGTACTATAGAGTACACAGAGGTACCATGCAGTACTACAGGGTACTACAGAGTACACAGAGGTACCATGCAGTACTACAGGGTACTACAGAGTACACAGAGGTACCTGAGAGTACTACAGGGTACTATAGAGTACACAGAGGTACCATGCAGTACTACAGGGTACTATAGAGTACACAGAGGTACCTGAGAGTACTACAGGGTACTATAGAGTACACAGAGGTACCATGCAGTACTACAGGGTACTACAGAGTACACAGAGGTACCATGCAGTACTTCAGGGTACTACAGAGTACACAGAGGTACCTGAGAGTACTACAGGGTACTATAGAGTACACAGAGGTACCATGCAGTACTACAGGGTACTACAGAGTACACAGAGGTACCTGAGAGTACTACAGGGTAATACAGAGTACACAGAGGTACCATGCAGTACTACAGGGTACTATAGAGTACACAGAGTTACCATGCAGTACTACAGGGTACTACAGAGTACACAGAGGTACCTGAGAGTACTACAGGGTACTACAGAGTACGCAGAGGTACCATGCAGTACTACAGGGTACTATAGAGTACACAGAGATACCATGCAGTACTACAGAAAAGGGTTGGGTGAGTTTTTCTATTTACAATGGTTACACTGGTTTTATCAACCATCCAGTATAAATTCATAATTTGTTATAATTAGAGTATGGTTTATCCCAGCGGTCCCAAAAGGGTTTTGGGGGTCAGGGGTCACATAGGGCATGTGTCTCCGCTAAAGCCCAGTTCACATGGCACAATTTTAAATGAATCCTAACTGATCGTTCTGCTTGTTGTGCGTTACGTAGAACGTCAGACGGCTCCCATCTAAAATCGGATCTATTCTTCATGGTCTCGGCCCGATCATCGCAGCCTGCGGGGTTTTCCCTGACTGGGAGCAGAACGCAGAATGTGACAGGGAGCCAATCAGAAAGCATGATGACGTAAGAACGAAGGGGATCCCAAACAGTTCACATCAGAGGTGATATGTGGAAACAGCATGAATTTTATTCAACATTTCGTACCAGAAATATCGACAGCAGTGACAATGAGAGGAACTGGAGCGAAACTGGTACCACAGTTGATAAACCCAGTAAGTTTTCAGCTATTCATCATTAACGTGACACAAATAGGTAATGGTAAAGCTATTTGTTCAGTCAGGGCTTGACGCTGACACTAGCTCTCTTAAAATTAGTCCACAAACTGTCACTACTGTTTCTACATTGTAGTCTGTGTTTGATTATTCTAAATTGCTGGCATGTCACAGGATGCTCTTCTGGAATGGGGATGTTTGCGAGTGGAATCGGTTCTTGTGTGGGCGACACATCATTTTGTTTTGATACATCACTGTCTATTTGAGATTTAGAGGGCTACGCTGACAGTTTGCCAGCTTTTTGCTCTTATAGTTCAAAATAGCAACAGAGATTATTTGAACATATTTTCACAATATGTTCAAATAATCTCATGACCTTGTGAATCATGAAATACCAAGAAATATTGGGAAAACGGGATGTTCCTCATATCGCCCAGCCGTCTCTGTGGGTGGGGTCATGTGACTCACAGTGCCAGCGTCATGTCCTCCTGCATCCTCTGCAGCGCATCCAGCAGCGCTGGCGCCGCCCGCTGGCGGTGGTTGTCCTGCTGCGTTCGGGCGCCGCACACCGCCAACACATAGTTGTTGTGGAGGTTATGGAGCTTCGCTGTGGCTTTGTCGTAACGTTCGCGAGCCCGCTCTGCTTCCCGGCCTGTTATTGGTGGGAGAGTAAGGGACGTGACGGTCAGCGCAACAGGAAGCGCGGTCCGCGGCTGGCGCGGCGGAACCAGGACCTACCTTTGGTTAACGCCTCTCGGTACTTCTCTTTGGCGTTGTTGGCGTCGCGGCTCAGCTGACGGTAGGAGGCCTTCAGCTTCTCCAGGTCATTTTTGGTTACCTAGCAACAGCAGACAGGCTTGGGTCTGCGGTCATGAGCCGAGACGCCCCGGACCAAATCCCGGGTTACCTTGTGGTTGTGGGTCTCCAGCTGCTGATGAAGACTCTGGTAGCTCTTCTTCACCTGCTGCTTGTCCCGAATCAGCGTGGCGAGGCGTGCAGCGGGCGGAGTTCAGGTCGTCGGCGTGGCTCCTCATGATGTGACCCAACGCCTCTGTCTGACGGATCACCTGAGACCACGACTGACAGAGCCACCGGACCATGAGGGGCTGGCCCACAAGCCCCGCCCCTTGGGAAACAGGTGAGCAACTTACCTTGCTGACTGTGCTCACGTAGTCGGCGGCTTCCTGCTTCTCTGTTTGCTGAGTCATGCTGAGCAGCAGGGCGGCATATTCCTTATCGCTCTTCACCCGCAGCGTCATGAAGCGCTTCACCGTCTCCAGCAGCTAGAGGGCGCCAGAGCACACAAGTTCAGCGACAGAGAACCTGTCTGCCTCCCACCTGTCCTGATGCCACAAGTCAGGTGAGACATGTAGCAACCCGTCCCCCTTCGCCACACATGGCTGACTGTGGTACTTGTTGGGGTCGTGCGGCACCGGTCAGGCGGCGTCAGGTCCGATAGTGCGGCGCCGGTCAGGTCATGTGACAGATGCCACACAGGACTGAAGGGATGTCAAAACTTCTGGTTGTTTGTGCTGAAATTAGAAACCACTATTGATCGTAGTGGTCTGCCGATTGATCCACCGATTTCCATGGAAAAGAATTTGATTGGCGATCGCTGAACATCGTCTCCTCACTTATCACCTGGACCTCAAACTTAGCGGCTTGCAGCACCAGAGATGCCGTCTCTCTGGGTGCATCATCACTGGAAAGCTTCCCTGCCCTCACCAACATGGCGGCCCAACACAGGAACAGCTGAGATGCTTCTTCCCAGAATGCTCTGCGTTCGTAGCCTGTGTAAATGCTAGGGTTAGGGCACAATTAAATCAATTTGACATTTATATTTGAATGTTAACTTGAATATTTTTTATTTTTAATGTTCAGTATTTCTTTTACTTCTTCCTTGATTTAACATGTTGAATCGTCGCTGCATGCAGTACCTGCTTTGGCCTGCAGGTGTAAACATGTCGCCGCTGCTACTTAGAATTAAAGAAAAACATTTGCAGCCAATCCATGTGATCAATATCCACAGCAAAACACCTGATTAGATCAATGATTGGTATTGATTGGTATTGATTGTTGTGATTGGTAAATATCAGCAGGATCAGTTTTATCTCTACCTGCAGAGAATCGGTAAAACAAACGGTTCCAGAGTGATCATAGAGTCCAAATCAGTTCAGAACCTGACCGGTTCCGATTGCTGGTTCTGGTCGGGTCAGTGGGGATTCCGACCAGAACCGGCCCCATCTTACCTTCAGCTCCCAGTCCTGCAGCTTCAGCAATCCCTCGTGGGAGTTGATGAGATCCCGACCAAAACCCATCCCGGATCAGTGGTTCTGTCTCTAGAAGTGCAGCACAGAAAAACCTGAGGGCATTGTCCTGTGGAGAAAAGGACGAGTAAGAACCAGAACCACTGGGTCCAGTTTGGGGTTGCGACCTCATGGTTCTGATCACGGGATTTGGAGCCCAACTACAGCGACCCACACTTCCCAAGCCTCCCACTGGGTCTGCTCCAGTCCCACTGGTGAGCGGATCGGGTCTCTCCTCCCAGTGAGACCCGACCCGTTCTCCATTCTTTCGGTGTGGAGGAGCAGCGGCCCCCACTGAGGGCCGAGACCTGGTTCTTTCGGTCTTCACCCAAAGCTGGAGGCCTTCATGAGGCCGAAGACTGACTGACGGTAAATTGAGAGCTTTGACATCTGAAAGTTCTGGTATCATGAACCCAACAGAACCACTGGATCCTGAGGCCAACATCTGCACTGCTCAGGAAGGTACTGAACAGAACCTGAGTCCAGCAACAAGTCCAACTCACTTGCAGTAATGAGGACCACATTCTGGTGCTGGTATTACTGGATCCCCAAGAGGCCTGGGACCGGGGTCCTCCTGACCCCCAGGGGTCCTCCTGACCCCCAGGGGTCCTCCTGACCCCCAGGGGCATTCCTGAGGAGGACTTGAACTTGACCTCACCTCCTGCTTCTCTCATGCTTTGCTAAAACGACCCTATCCGATGAAGAGTGTCGCCTTCAGGATGGGTCAGAACCCGTCCTCACAGTAAGGAGCTGATCAACCATCTCTGGGTCCAGGCTGGACTTCCGGCCACCAGCTGGAGGGTCGCCGATGCTACGCTAGCTTTAGCCTTAGCTCCTGAGCCCCATTCAAACTAATGGAGGAAGGGCTATTATGCTACTGCTAGGAGATAGCCTCCACTGCTCCAATGGAGGTCCGTCACCTTTGAACTCACAACACGTTCAGAACCTGAATAAGTCGGGTCCATTGTAGCAGAACTTGTCCCGGCTGCTGTCCCCGATTCGGTCCCGATAAGCCCGCGGAGCGAGCAGCCGGAGGAGGAAAGCAGTTCGGGACCTCCACAGTCTGGGAGAGAGATCGCTGTTTTCCCGGAGCTTTCTTTACGTTTACTGACCTGAAAACTGGATAATGCGGCGGCAGCGTCTCCGTCTGGTCACCGTGCTTCCCTCTGGTCCTCCCCGGGACTCATGTCGTCCTCTGCACAGGGTTTATCTGCTCCGTTCCCGTGTTTTTGCTCTGCTGTCTGGGATGCAGAGCTAAAAGCTAACAGCTAACAGGGAGGGGCTTCCGCCGGAAACGGAAAACCAGGAAGAAGTGGGAGAGAGACGGGATGGGGTGGGAGGAGCCAGTAAAGAGTCACGTGACGAAAACAACAAGCGACAAGAAGAAAGTGGACATATGGTTCATTCCGCCATGTTTTATTCCCAAACCAGAAACAGAACCTTCAACAAAGACCAGACACTAAACCATAGATAAGGACATAAACACCTAAACAGCAAACAGAAATAAAATTCATCGAAACATTTAAACAGGAAGCAGTTAAACCAGGACAGAGTTTACTAAGTTTACTCTTCATAAAACGACCAGAGGGGCGGTGTGGAGTGCAGCATGATGGGCTTGAAATAAAACCATGTCTTCATCGTCTAATTGATGGCTGTAAATTAGTTTTGTACTGCGAGTTTTATTATTGATTAAAGTTTCAAGAAAGAAAAACAGACCAGATGAAACTAGGAGGGAGGGTTGTTAATGGAACCAGTGAGTCCTGGGCGGAGCGCTGAGCTGGAAATGAGAAGAATGAAGGAACAGTCAAAGTTTCTGTCCAACTGGTTCCAGAAACATGAGGCGTTCACTGCCCTCCGTTCAACACAGCTTCAACACCCTTTTGTTTTTCCTCCTGTGGGGTCACATGACCTCCAAACAGGAAACACACTTCGCTGGGCGGAGAGGAAAACATTTATGAACAGTAAATCAAAGTCAATCATTCAATTCAGAATAAAAAACAATTCATTTTCAAATAATTTGGACTCTAAATACATAAAAGGATCAAATTAAATAAACTAATAAAATATATTGATAATTAATTGTTTTTAAAAATGTCAGCAGAAAAAAATACCGGAAGAAATAAAAGATTCAGAAAAAATTACAAGAAGAAAGAGAAAATTCTCAAATAAGAAACAAAATACTTGAACAAATTTTAAATAAATCTGCCAACAATAAGAGGAAATCAAACTCTAACATTTGGTTATAAAATATTTAAACAACAAATTAAAAATATCCCAACAAACATGTAGAACAATTAATTTCAAGAATTGCAAATATTTTCAGATCTCTTTCTCCCAGATTTTATAAGATTTCATTCCCATAACTTTATATATCAATATTTCTATATTTACTCCTTGGTGATGATATCTGTGCGGTTCTGATTTCATAATTGAGATCATTAATGCCTGGTTCTCCAGTAGAGTTATCTGAACTTGGTTGCCTAGCAACAAAAGGGTTAAAGTTCATTCATTTTGTCTCTGAGCTCCACCAGGTCCGTTGACCAGTTCCAGAACCCGACCAGAACCCCTCAGTGTAAATTGCCTTGAGAAATAATGAGATTTGGTTATTAAACAGGCTTTAATTCTGAAAAATAATCAAATGTTACAATCTGTTCATGTGATCCAGATGGGTCAGAACCAGAGCTACTGGGCCACTGGGCTCAGCTGATGGACGGAACCAGAACAGGCAAAGATCCCAGTTTATCTTTAATTCTCCTCAATCTGTTCCCTCCCAACAGGCCAGTCAATCAGCTTCAGTCTGTCACACATAAACATGGTTATGTAAGCTGCAGCGTCTGCATGTAAGCAGATGAAATAAAGACAGAATCCAGAACAGAAGCAAACTTGAAATATTCATGAAATACAAATATGACACATTCACCAAATCCTAGTTAACTAAAGCTGGACTTTATGAACAGAAATAAAATATCAAATATTTTTCACTAATAAGAAACTGCATTCAATTTTTTTTAAAGAGAAATCTGAAACCAAAGGAAATCTGCTTTTAGATATTCAGACATTAAAAGGTCAAACCTCCCAGAGGAGGAGGCGTCGTCCCAGTGGGCGAGCTACATAGAGAATGAACAGAGAGAGAGAGGGAGAGACAGAGAGAGGGAGAGAGGGAAAGAGAGAGAGAGGGAGTGCCGGCAGGTAGAACAGGTTTGGGCGAGGCGGTCAAGACACTCAGCAGAGAGACAGAGAGACAGAGAGACAGAGAGACGAGTCAGATTTATTGTTTCGGTCAAATAAAACTTCATTTTTCCAGATACGAAGGACCTGAATCTGTTTTAGACAGAAGAAGAAGAAGCTGCCAGAGGAGTTGGACGGTTTTTAAAAAGACAGAAGAAGACGAAGGTGGACACACCTGAGGACATGTGAGTCGTCTCCAACTGGAAAAATCCTGACACTTGAAAACCAGTACAACCAGAAGATAGATAGATAGATAGATAGATAGATAGATAGATAGATAGATAGATAGATAGATAGATAGATAGATAGATAGATAGATAGATAGATAGATAGATAGATAGATAGATAGATAGATAGATAGATAGATAGATAGATAGATAGATAGATAGATAGATAGATAGATAGATAGATATTGGCGGTTCTGACCAGTTCTTCCTGACAGAACCGGGTCAGGAAAAGTACGAGGACATGTTTTTATTTGGTGTATGTAAACTTGTGGTTCCTGCTGTCGGGTAAATTATTATCGAACAAGTTGAGATCCTTTAGGTCGTGTTCTGTGATGGATCCTGATCATCAGCAGAGTTCTGATTGATCATGAGACGTTTGAATGTTCTGTCAGGTTTGGACTAGGCCACAGCGTCTGAACGTCTCCTGTAGAGAAACCATCACTTGATGATCCTGGTTTATAAAACTGGGCTGCAGCATTTCCTGCTGCGGTTCTTGATGCTGCGGTTCTTGATGCTGCGTTTCCTGCTGCGGTTCTTGATGTTGCTACAGCATTTCCTGCTGTGGTTCTTGATGTTGCTGCAGCATTTCCTGCTGCGGTTCTTGATGCGGTTCTTGATGCTGCGTTTCCTGCTGCGGTTCTTGATGCTGCGTTTCCTGCTGCGGTTCTTGATGCTGCGGTTCTTGATGCTGCTGCAGCGGTTCCTGCTGCGGGTCTTGATGCTGCGTTTCCTGCTGCGGTTCTTGATGCTGCGGTTCTTGATGCTACGTTTCCTGCTGCGGTTCTTGATGCTGAGTTTCCTGCTGCGGTTCTTGATGCTGCGGTTCCTGCTGCGGTTCTTGATGCTGCGGTTCTTGATGCTGCGGTTCTTGATGCTGCGGTTCCTGCTGCGGTTCTTGATGCTGCGGTTCTTGATGCTGCGTTTCCTGCTGCGGTTCTTGATGCTGCGTTTCCTGCTGCGTTTCCTGCTGCAGTTCTTGATGCTGCGTTTCCTGCTGCGGTTCTTGATGCTGCGGTTCTTGATGCTGCGGTTCTTGATGCTGCGTTTCCTGCTGCTGTTCTTGATGCTGCGTTTCCTGCTGCGTTTCCTGCTGCGGTTCTTGATGCTGCGTTTCCTGCTGCGGTTCTTGATGCTGCGTTTCCTGCTGCGGTTCTTGATGCTGCGGTTCTTGATGCTGCGTTTCCTGCTGCTGCGGTTCTTGATGCTGCGGTTCCTGCTGCAGTTCTTGATGCTGCGTTTCCTGCTGCGGTTCTTGATGCTGCGGTTCTTGATGCTGCGTTTCCTGCTGCGGTTCTTGATGCTGCGGTTCTTGATGCTGCGTTCCTGCTGCGGTTCTTGATGCTGCGTTTCCTGCTGCGGTTCTTGATGCTGCGGTTCTTGATGCTGCGTTTCCTGCTGCGGTTCTTGATGCTGCGGTTCTTGATGCTGCGTTCCTGCTGCGGTTCTTGATGCTGCGTTTCCTGCTGCGGTTCTTGATGCTGCGGTTCTTGATGCTGCGTTTCCTGCTGCGGTTCTTGATGCTGCGGTTCTTGATGCTGCGTTCCTGCTGCGGTTCTTGATGCTGCGGTTCCTGCTGCGGTTCTTGATGCTGCGGTTCTTGATGCTGCGGTTCCTGCTGCGGTTCTTGATGCTGCGTTTCCTGCTGCGGTTCTTGATGCTGCGGTTCTTGATGCTGCGTTTCCTGCTGCGGTTCTTGATGCTGCGGTTCTTGATGCTGCGTTCCTGCTGCGGTTCTTGATGCTGCGTTTCCTGCTGCGGTTCTTGATGCTGCGGTTCTTGATGCTGCGTTTCCTGCTGCGGTTCTTGATGCTGCGTTTCCTGCTGCGGTTCTTGATGCTGCGGTTCTTGATGCTGCGGTTCTTGATGCTGCGGTTCTTGATGCTGCGTTTCCTGCTGCGGTTCTTGATGCTGCAGTTCTTGATGCTGCGGTTCTTGATGCTGCGTTCCTGCTGCGGTTCTTGATGCTGCGGTTCCTGCTGCGGTTCTTGATGCTGCGGTTCTTGATGCTGCGGTTCCTGCTGCGGTTCTTGATGCTGCGTTTCCTGCTGCGGTTCTTGATGCTGCGGTTCTTGATGCTGCGGTTCCTGCTGCGGTTCTTGATGCTGCGGTTCTTGATGCTGCGGTTCTTGATGCTGCGTTCCTGCTGCGGTTCTTGATGCTGCGTTTCCTGCTGCGGTTCTTGATGCTGCGGTTCTTGATGCTGCGTTTCCTGCTGCGGTTCTTGATGCTGCGGTTCTTGATGCTGCGGTTCTTGATGCTGCGGTTCCTGCTGCGGTTCTTGATGGTGCTGCAGCGTTTTGTGCTGCAGTTCTTGCAGAGAGAACGAGAAAGCGAGGATTTAGAGATGGAATCGGCTCCAGATCTGATTTCTTTGGATTTTAACGACCAGGTTTTATCTGTAAATGTTTTAGTTAGTTTAGTTCGGTTTAGTTTTATTTAGCAGCTCAAAACAGATTTTTGGAAACTAAATGAATGAAACTGGCTCAGTTCAGATTATTAAACTCGTTAACTTGCAGAGTTGATTGCCTGTCTCTCCTGGAAGCATAAACTCGACCTGATTGCTTACAATGTGGAGGAAGTGACATCATAGATGTTTATTATGTTTTAATGAAACTTGATTCATTTCAATGTTTCTTTCTCTCCAGATTGGTTGTTCCACCGCCCCTCCCCCTCTGACCCGTCCTGTGACATCATCAAAATGTCATCAAAAATCAACATTTCTTTGGAGAACCCGTATGGTCAGGTGACCATCCCTCGGGCTAAGCTCCGCCCCTCAGATGATGCAACAGTGATATCCAATCCGGTGGCTCTGAGCAGCGAGAACCCATACGCCCAGAAGGGCTCAGCCCCGCCCCCCTACACGGTGACGGAGGAAGAGGAGGAGGAAGAGGCGGGGCGATGCCCAGCCTGCTGCTACCGCTGCCGCAGGAGGAAGTGATGTCACCGAACCAGAACCAACAGAACCAGAACTGGGCTGCAGATCCGAAGCTTAGAGACTTCAAAGGAAACAGTTCACACAGACTTTGGACCATCGATTCTGGTTCTGGAGCTCAGGACAGAACCCGAACAGAACCTGGACAGAACCCGAACAGAACCTGGACAGAACCTGGACAGAACCTGGACAGAACCCGAACAGAACCTGGACAGAACCTGAACAGAACCCGAACAGAACCTGAACAGAACCTGAACAGAACCTGGATAGAACCTGGATAGAACCTGGACAGAACCTGGACAGAACCCGAACAGAACCTGGACAGAACCTGAACAGAACCCGAACAGAACCTGAACAGAACCTGAACAGAACCTGGATAGAACCTGGACAGAACCTGAACAGAACCCGAACAGAACCTGAACAGAACCTGAACAGAACCTGGATAGAACCTGGACAGAACCTGAACAGAACCTGAACAGAACCTGAACAGAACCTGGATAGAACCTGGACAGAACCTGGATAGAACCTGAACAGAACCTGGATAGAACCTGGACAGAACCTGGACAGAACCCGAACAGAACCTGGACAGAACCTGAACAGAACCTGAACAGAACCCGAACAGAACCTGAACAGAACCTGGATAGAACCTGGACAGAACCTGAACAGAACCTGGACAGAACCTGAACAGAACCCGAACAGAACCTGAACAGAACCTGGACAGAACCTGAACAGAACCTGGATAGAACCTGGACAGAACCTGAACAGAACCTGGACAGAACCTGAACAGAACCTGAACAGAACCTGGACAGAACCTGGACAGAACTTGCTTCAGAACTCTGAGAAATTAGATTTAAATGTTTGTTTTTTATATTTTTAGATTTATTTAGTTTTAGTTCCTTCGAAAAGTCAAGATGGCTGCCTGGCTGCCGTTGCCATGACAACTCCACCTGAAGACTTTGTTTTACACTTTAAATCATTTTCATATAAAATGTAAATCGGATCCTATTTAACGATATTTAATCAAAGTTCAGAAAAACGTTTTGAATTTTATTTTCAACAAAAAGATTTTGATGAGATTTTTGTTCCAGCAGCAGAAAAACGAACCGAATCATGACGTCATAACCAGGCAGAGATTATGGCTGTGAAACATTTATGAATCATTATTTTATTGCTGAAATGCTTGTTTTATTTCTGGCTTCAGGAAAAATGTTTCTCCATAAAGTATTTTTGTTTTCTGCATCTTTTCAAAATGCCTGTGAAGCCGCAGCGAGTTGGAGATGAAGAACAAAATAAAATCATGATTTGCTTTGCTTTTTATGTCCCGTTTATGTGTAAAACACAAACAGCAGGGGGCGCCAGCAGGGGGCGCCGTTTGCCCCATTCTGTGGGTAAAGCAGTCGCCTCTTGACCAGAAGGTTGAGGGTTCGATTCCAGACTCACATTCACCCATTCATTTATATGAATGGGTTAGTTTAGTTCGGTTGTGGTTATAAATATTAGTTATTTGTTCAGTTGGCTTACATTCCTGCAGAAACAGGAAAGGATACTTTCAAAATAAAACAGGAAATCAGGCTTAAATACACTAGAAATCAGACAGGAGAGAAGAAGAAGTTGAGAAAAAAAATGAAGCCGATGGACAAGACAAGACGCTCAGTAGAACCCAGTACAGGAGGTTCTGATGGTTCTGATGGTTCTGGTGGTCTGAACTGGGCTGGATGTTTTTCAGCCTACTTCATGCTGCCAGACAGGCTCTTTCTCCGACCGGTTCTGATTCTGCAGATTTGATGGGAAACGAGAAACTGAACCAGAATCATCAGTTAGAGACAATTATTATTGCTGGCTTTATGGGTCAAACTTTCTGATTTTAATTCATTTAGTTTTTTATTTCCTCTAGTTAACTTTAGCTTTTTTTAAAAAGTCAGAAACACAAAGAAATTCATTAGTCTGGTGTGACGGTTCCGGACCAGTAAGCGGTCCAAACCCATCAATGCTCTGACTGGGAAGTGACCAGTGAGCCCAGCAGGTCCTGACCCGGTAACCAGTACGGTCCTCATCGTCTCCATGACACCAGAGACCTGAACCTGGATCCACTTTCTATTGGCTGATCTGGGATCCGGTATTGACCAGCAGGTGATTATCAGGATCTTTAGTTTTGTGCTTCTATATTGATCTGAACTTCTCTCAGGTTGTTATTATTTTTATTATTGATGAGTATTGATTGGACAACAGGCTGAAGTTGATGTTATACATGTGAGCATTTTGTTTGAGGTCAGGTTTCACCTGGTTGGTGAATTATTGATGGAGGCGAGTTTGTCTCTCTGGGAGACGATCAAAGCCAACAGAAGACGAGCGAACAGGAGGCGGAAAGACGGAGAGAAGACATAAACGAAACAAGAATAAAGGCTGGAAGAGAAACAGAAAAAACAGAAAGCGGAGAGAAGAGCTGGAAAACATGGAACGATGAAGACTGAGGAAGAAGAGGAGCAATACAACAAACCCAGGTGAGATTCTGTCTGACCAATCAAAACACAGGAAGGAAAATTATTTCATCCAATCGAAAACATTAAGAAAAACTTTTTATTTTGGTTAACAAAAACCCTAAACTGATAATAATCACGAGAAAAAGACATTTTAATATCCAGCATGTTGATACCAGTCTGATCCCAGACTGTTCCCAGTCAGATCCCAGACTGTTCCCAGTCAGATCCCAGACTGTTCCCATTCAGATCCCAGACTGTTCCCAGGCTGTTCCCAGTCTTATCGCAGACTGTTCCCAGTCAGATCCCAGACTGTTCACAGTCAGATCCCAGACTGTTCCCAGCCAGATCCCAGACTGTTCACAGCCAGATCCCAGACTGTTCCCAGTCAGATCCCAGACTGTTCCCAGTCTGTTCCCAGTCTGATCCCAGACTGTTCCCATTCAGATCCCAGACTGTTCCCAGGCTGTTCCCAGTCTTATCGCAGACTGTTCCCAGTCAGATCCCAGACTGTTCACAGTCAGATCCCAGACCTTTCCCAGTCAGATCCCAGACTGTTCCCAGTCAGATCCCAGACTGTTCACAGTCAGATCCCAGACCTTTCCCAGTCAGATCCCAGACTGTTCCCAGTCAGATCCCAGTCTGTTCCCAGTCAGATCCCAGACCTTTCCCAGTCAGATCCCAGACTGTTCCCAGGCTGTTCCCAGTCTGATCCCAGGCTGTTCCCAGACTGTTCACAGTCAGATCCCAGACTGTTCACAGTCAGATCCCAGACTGTTCACAGTCAGATCCCAGACCTTTCCCAGTCAGATCCCAGACTGTTCCCAGTCAGATCCCAGACTGTTCACAGTCAGATCCCAGACTGTTTCCAGTCAGATCCCAGACTGTTCCCAGTCAGATCCCAGACTGTTCCCAGTCAGATCCCAGACTGTTCCCAGACTGTTCACAGTCAGATCCCAGACTGTTCCCAGTCAGATCCCAGACTGTTCCCAGTCTGTTCCCAGTCTGATCCCAGACTGTTCCCATTCAGATCCCAGACTGTTCCCAGGCTGTTCCCAGTCTTATCGCAGACTGTTCCCAGTCAGATCCCAGACTGTTCCCAGTCAGATCCCAGACTGTTCCCAGTCAGATCCCAGTCTGTTCCCAGTCAGATCCCAGACCTTTCCCAGTCAGATCCCAGACTGTTCCCAGTCTGTTCCCAGGCTGTTCCCAGTCTGATCCCAGACTGTTCCCAGTCTGATCCCAGACTGTTCCCAGGCTGTTCCCAGTCTGATCCCAGGCTTTTCCCAGACTGTTCCCAGTCAGATCCCAGACTGTTCCCAGTCTGATCGCAGACTGTTCCCAGTCAGATCCCAGACTGTTCACAGTCAGATCCCAGACTGTTCCCAGGCTGTTCCCAGTCTGATCCCAGACTGTTCCCAGTCTGTTCCCAGGCTGTTCCCAGTCTGATCCCAGACTGTTCCCAGTCTGATCCCAGACTGTTCCCAGGCTGTTCCCAGTCTGATCCCAGACTGTTCCCAGTCTGATCCCAGACTGTTCCCAGTCTGATCCCAGACTGTTCCCAGTCAGATCCCAGGCTGTTCCCAGACTGTTCCCAGTCAGATCCCAGGCTGTTCCCAGACTGTTCCCAGTCTGATCCCAGACTGTTCCCAGTCAGATCCCAGGCTGTTCCCAGACTGTTCCCAGTCTGATCCCAGACTGTTCGCAGTCAGATCCTAGACTGTTCCCAGTCTGTTCCCAGTCTGATCCCAGACTGTTCCCAGTCTGTTCCCAGGCTGTTCCCAGTCTGATCCCAGACTGTTCCCAGTCTGATCCCAGACTGTTCCCAGGCTGTTCCCAGTCTGATCCCAGACTGTTCCCAGTCTGTTCCCAGGCTGTTCCCAGTCTGATCCCAGACTGTTCCCAGTCTGATCCCAGACTGTTCCCAGTCAGATCCCAGGCTGTTCCCAGACTGTTCCCAGTCAGATCCCAGGCTGTTCCCAGACTGTTCCCAGTCTGATCCCAGACTGTTCCCAGTCAGATCCCAGGCTGTTCCCAGACTGTTCCCAGTCTGATCCCAGACTGTTCGCAGTCAGATCCTAGACTGTTCCCAGTCTGTTCCCAGTCTGATCCCAGACTGTTCCCAGTCTGTTCCCAGGCTGTTCCCAGTCTGTTCCCAGGCTGTTCCCAGTCTGATCCCAGACTGTTCCCAGTCTGATCCCAGACTGTTCCCAGTCTGATCCCAGACTGTTCCCAGTCTGTTCCCAGGCTGTTCCCAGTCTGATCCCAGACTGTTCCCAGTCTGATCCCAGACTGTTCCCAGTCTGTTCCCAGTCAGATCCCAGGCTGTTCCCAGACTGTTCCCAGTCTGATCCCAGTCTGTTCCCAGTCAGATCCCAGGCTGTTCCCAGGCTGTTCCCAGTCTGATCCCAGACTGTTCCCAGTCTGATCCCAGACTGTTCCCAGTCTGTTCCCAGTCAGATCCCAGGCTGTTCCCAGACTGTTCCCAGTCTGTTCCCAGGCTGTTCCCAGTCTGATCCCAGACTGTTCCCAGTCTGATCCCAGACTGTTCCCAGACTGTTCCCAGTCAGATCCCAGGCTGTTCCCAGACTGTTCCCAGTCAGATCCCAGGCTGTTCCCAGACTGTTCCCAGTCTGATCCCAGACTGTTCCCAGTCAGATCCAGGCTGTTCCCAGACTGTTCCCAGTCTGATCCCAGACTGTTCGCAGTCAGATCCTAGACTGTTCCCAGTCTGTTCCCAGTCTGATCCCAGACTGTTCCCAGTCTGTTCCCAGGCTGTTCCCAGTCTGTTCCCAGGCTGTTCCCAGTCTGATCCCAGACTGTTCCCAGTCTGATCCCAGACTGTTCCCAGTCTGATCCCAGACTGTTCCCAGTCTGTTCCCAGGCTGTTCCCAGTCTGATCCCAGACTGTTCCCAGTCTGATCCCAGACTGTTCCCAGTCTGTTCCCAGTCAGATCCCAGGCTGTTCCCAGACTGTTCCCAGTCTGATCCCAGTCTGTTCCCAGTCTGATCGAGTAACAGATGTCATCGTGTCTACAAACCAGATGGCGTTATCCTAAACCAAGCTGGAAAAAAACCTTCTCACCACCAACTAGCAACAAGAAGTCCTTCGTCCAATCACAGGACAACGTGAGCAATGAGGTCATCGCTCCAGAAGAAGCAACGGATCAGGATGGAACCACCGGATATTGGAGATGTTCCAAACCAAATGGATCTGAAGACACCAGCTGGAGGCAGAGCTGCTGCTCCCAGTTCGCCCAGTTCCCCCAGTTCCTCATTCAAGACGTCTACTGGAAGCTGAGACGACTCGTGTGAAACAGAAGTTTTAAGTGACAATAGAAAGAACCAGGGGGATTGCTGCATTTTTTCATGATTCACTAAACGGTAAAAAGGTTTTCTAGTCGGCTAAAAGGTCATCACTGAGGTCAGACAGCTTCTATTCAAAACCCCTAAATATGTGAATAATTAGCTTGATCTCATTAATTATTTATATTTGTGGGAGATTTTAATGTCCATGTTGACAAACCAAAGATATAGAGGCAGAAAGCTGAATATTTCTGATCATTTATCCATTAACATCCTGTCACAAACCGTTCTGTCAGCAGAACCTTTAATATTCCTCCTCCTCCTCCTCTTCCTCCTCCTCCTCCTCCTCTTCCTCCTCTTCCTCCTCCTCCTCCTCCTCCTCCTCTTCCTCCTCCTCCTCTTCCTCCTCCTCCTCTTCCTTCTTCTCCTCCTCTTCCTCCTCTTCCTCCTCCTCCTCCTCCTCTTCCTCCTCCTCCTCCTCCTCCTCCTCGCCTTCCAGCTGGAACATGGAGATGAGCATGTGAAGCTCTAAGCTCCACATGTTATTGATCCCATTAAAGGTGGCGTCTCCAGTGGACAAATGATGATTCCTGTAGCAGAGAATCAGAACCAGAACTGCAGCTGGAGTTCTGGCAAGAACTAGGATGATAGAGACACCATCCGGTTCTGGACCATCCGGTTCTGGACCATCCGGTTCTGGACCAGCCGGTTCTGCTGCTAGTTTATAAATCACTGTTGCTGGTTCTGGTTCTGCTCTGCATCAGAACCAGAACCAAACATGGAGAAGCAGCTTTCAGATCCCTTGAAGCTGATTGGTCGATAAATGTTTTTGCTGATTCTGACTGGATGTAAAGGTGATTTTCTAACTTCCTGCTGAAACGTTTTCGTGACCCTGAAGGGAAAATGATTCATGAGATGAGGAGGAGGAAGATGACCCCCTGCCCCCCCCTCCCTGCTCCTCTGTTGCCGTGGAGACGGTCGGCAGGGGAACGGACTTGGCGTGCGTCGTGTGTTTCGGCAGCTACGACTTGCTGACGCGGTTGCCTCGGCGACTCCACTGTGGCCACGCCTTCTGCCAGGCGTGTCTGAAGAGACTGGACACGGTCATCAACGAGCAGGTGAGGTCAAAAGGTCAGGAGGTCAAGAGGAGGACTGAATCTTCACTGCTGGGAACCTGACTGGGTCAAAGGTCACTTGAGGATCAGTTTGACCTTCCTCACAGGGTTAGGGTTGACGCTAAAGGTGCTCCTCCTCTTCCTCTTCCTCTTCTTCCTCATCTCCCTCCTCCTCCTCCTCTTCCTCCTCCTCTTCCTCCTCTTCCTCTTCCTCCTCCTCTTCCTCTTCTCCCTCCTCCTCCTCTTCCTCATCTCCCTCTTCCTCCTCTTCCTCTTCTTCCTCCTCCTCCTCCTCCTCTTCTTCTCCTCCTCCTCTTTCTCCTCCTCCTCCTCCTCTTCCTCCTCCTCCTCTTCTTCCTCCTCTTCCTCATCTCCCTCTTCCTCCTCCTCTTCCTCATCTCCCTCTTCCTCCTCCTCTTTCTCCTCTTCCTCTTCTTCCTCCTCCTCCTCCTCCTTTTCCTCCTCCTCTTCCTCTTCCTCTTCTTCCTCCTCCTCCTCCTCTTCCTCCTCCTCCTCTTCTCTTCCTCTTCCTCTTCCTCCTCCTCTTCCTCCTCCTCCCTTCCTCTTCTTCCTCCTCCTCCTCCTCTTCCTCCTCCTCCTCTTTTTCCTCCTCCTCTTCCTCCTCCTCCTCCTCTTCCTCAGGTGTGGATTCCGTGTCCCCAGTGCCGGCAGAATACGCCGCGGCCGCGCGGTGGCGCCGCTGGTCTGGACCTGGACCTGGCATCGTTCCTGGCGGTGAAAGCCCAGCAGACCTTCATCTCCTGCTCCTCTTCCTCACAAAGCCCCGCCCCCAGGGGCGGAGCTTCATCCGGCGACGGGAAGCTTTGGCTGGGGAAGGAAACTCCCGACGACGGCTGGCGGCACGGCGGCCTGGCGGAGCCGCGCTTCCATCGCTACGTCGACTGCTGCCCGGCGCCGTCCTGCTGGCACTGCTGCTGGTTCTGCTGCCCCGGCCGAGGCTGACACACTGGACCGGAACCGACCCGGCTCTGGAGGAGGCCCAGTTCTGATGTTCATTCTATATTTCCTGGTTTTCTCTCAGTTCTGTATCAGAACCGGGTCGCCGTGAATAAAATCCCGAGCTTTGAAATATTTGTGTTCAGAAACATCAAATAAAAGCTTTAAAGTTTTGGGTCTTTGATCTCATTGATCTCAACCAAACTGGACCCAAACTGGAACCAAACTGGAACCAAACTGGAACCAGACTGGGACCAAACTGGAACCAAACTGGGACCAAACTGGAACCAAACTGGAACCAAACTGGGACCAAACTGGGACCAAACTGGAACTAGACTGGACCCAAACTGGGACCAAACTGGAACCAAACTGGAACCAAACTGGGACCAAACTGGAACCAAACTGGAACCAGACTGGAACCAAACTGGAACCAGACTGGAACCAAACTGGAACCAGACTGGACCCAAACTGGGACCAAACTGGACCCAAACTGGGACCAAACTGGGACCAGACTGGAACTAGACTGGAACCAAACTGGAACCAAACTGGAACCAGACTGGAACCAAACTGGGACCAAACTGGAACCAGACTGGAACTAGACTGGAACCAAACTGGAACCAAACTGGAACCAGACTGGAACCAAACTGGAACCAGACTGGAACCAGACTGGAACCAAACTGGGACCAAACTGGAACCAAACTGGAACCAGACTGGAACCAAACTGGAACCAGACTGGAACCAAACTGGGACCAAACTGGAACCAGACTGGAACCAAACTGGAACCAGACTGCCTCTCTGAGCAAACATAAAATGATTTCTGTTCCAGATTCAAACCCAAAGCTGCTCAAATAGAAATTTATTCTTTACACATAATTTACAAAAATAAACAAACTGACAGTTTATGGCTCTCAGCCAATCAGGACCTCACTGATAATGTCTCAGTGCTTTCAACCAATCAGAAGTTCAACCTTTGGCCACAGGTGACAGTGTGGAGGAGACGGTGCTTAGGCATAAAGCACTCTGGGAATTTGAGTCCGTGTCTTTTTGTCCGTCCTGCTCAAAGCTCTGCCCTCAGAGTCTCCAGCCAATAACAATGCGCGATGGCCTCTGGCCGTTGGCCAATCAGAGGCTGCCGAGAGCTTCCCCCATCCTGATTCGCTGTCCTGGCTGCAGGTCAAAGGTGAAGTCCGCTGGCGCCTCGAACAGCAGGACGACGGTGGAGCCCAGTTGAACTCGCCCACAGGCTCGCCTTTACGCAAGGCCACGCCCCCTTCGCTGGCCTTCACCTGGTCGCCCATGGCAACGTAGCTGCGGTCCTGGAACGAACCTTTGCTGTAGCGAGGAGCGTTGGTCCGCAGCTCCTGAGGAAGGAAAGAGAGAAGGGTCACATCGGGGGCCTCATGTCTAAAGCGACGAGCAAACAAAAAATGTGCGGCGCCACATTTTACGGAAAATCAGCCTGTAGAAAAATGAACTTTGCACCAAAGTTTGCAGAAATGCATGAACAATTTCTCTCTGGTGTGAAAATGTGCATATGAACCAGGGTCATTTCTGTTAGATTCACTTTTATTTATGTTTTATTAATTTAAAGAAAGACTTTAAAAGAAAATCCTCCTTCCTTAAATTCGGAAGCACAAAACTGAAACACCATTCGGTGTGTCAGTGGTTGTAGGGTCACATGACCAGCCGTACGTCAGAGACTGACATGCTGCTGCTCTCCACTAGGAGTCGCTGTCCAACGCTGCTGATTGTGGATCAAAACATGCTACTGATTACACGGTTTGACAAGTGGGAACTAGTGAGAGTTTTAGCTTTGTCTGGAAGCTAGCATGCTAGTGCTAGTTCCTGGTTATTGTTTGGGTTCAGTCAGTGAAAGCCAGGGGTCGGCGATCCGGGCCTGGAGGGCCTGCAGCTCTGAGACGTCTCTCAGGTTCAACAAACTGGAATCCAACAGCTGAATCACCTCCTGAGATCAGTCTGGTAACCAGAGTCCTGCTAATGACCTCATTATTTGACTCAGGTGTGTTGAAGTAGAGATACACTGTGCCAAACCCTCATCTTCACTCCGGACCGGACCGGACCCAACTGGACCGGACCCAACTGGACCGGACCCAACTGGACCCGACCAGATCCTTTTTTTTCATCATTTCTCTCACCTCCATCAAGGAGCTGAACTGGTTGCATTTCTTGGATGAAGGGAAAAAACATGTTGGATTTCAGGAACTATGAACTGAACCAATTTATCCTGGGATAAAAACCCAACACAAAATAAATTAAATAAAGAGTGAAAACCTTAACAATGGAAATAATAATTTAGCTCAGTTTGTCTCAAAGACAAAACGATTCGTCTGAATTCATCTATGGCTCATTTATCAATAGGGCTATTGATCAGTTTATTGATCCCAGGGTTGATCAATAGGTTTGATTACTGAAGGTGATCAGGTGAGTATAATCTCAGGTGTATCAGCAGCTGCATGAAGGTGATCTGAGGATCTGTGGCTCTGATGGAGAACATGGAGCCATTGATCAGAGATCGTATTGATCTGCTGGTTTATTGGTGTTTAGATTGATCCAGACTGATCATCCTGGAGCTCTGAGCAGAACTTGAAGCAGGTACCGGTACCGGTACTGGGAGCGTTAACGCAGCCTGTTGAATGTGACAGGTAGCCAATCAGAAAGCACGGATTCTCCTCTGTGGGAAACATGGAGGGAATCCCAAACTCCTGACCCGGCGTGACCCGGCGTGACCCAGCGTGACCCGGCAGACATCGGAGACGACGTGTGGAAACAACATGAATGTTCATTCAACATTTCAAGCAAAGAATATAGAAATGACAAGGGGAGGATTTATCAACTGCCACCCTAACCAAAATGGAGCTTAGCAGTTGTAGGGTTTCTTTATTAATGAACAACATTAGCCGCTAATGTTAGCGCCACTCTTAATCCCAACCCTAACACCTATTAGCCGCTAATGTTAGCGCCACTCTGGCAGGCGGCCATTATTGATAGTCCAAAGAGCAGAAATCTGTCACAGAAATAGTCGTATTTCTTACCCCATTTCTAAAAATTTGAAAATTAAAGCTGAGAAAATTGCTGATGTTTTGATACGTAGGCTAATGCTACGTATCTTCTTAACTTCAGTTAGTTAAGTGTTAACTACCTGATCGGACCAAACTGGACTGGACCAGACCGGTCCGAAGCGAAGTTGTCCGTCGGATCAAGGTTCGGTTTTTCAGTCTGATTAGCAATCAGACTGGAGTTGCATTAACTGGGCTGCAGCGAAGGCACATCTAAGATCTGATAAAGTTCCTGGACTCGGCTGTTTGCTGCGGTCCTGGTTCTGATTTTATTCTTGCTTTGCTGTTTTAGCCCTCAATCTTCTGAACTTCCAGTAGGAACCGGTTCTTCCCTTGAGTGGGACCCGTCTGGGTCTGGACTCACCTGGTCGAAGTAGACCCTGATGGAGCCCACATTGGTGGCGCCCACCGCCGTGAGGGAGAAGAAGCCGTGCTGCCATTGGCCGCTCAGCACCACGCGCTCGTTAAGGCAGAACAGCTCCTTGACCCAACGGCCACGCCCGGGTTCACAGACATCAGCGAGCCTGGCGGCGATAAGGAGCGGTGAGTGTTGGCACGCTGACGGCCCGCTCGTCGCCGTGCCAACACTCACCTGGGAAGTGGCGACGCAGCTCCACCCTCCAGTCAGCCGGCGAATGGAAGCAGTGGTAGTCGCCCGGCGCCAGGTAGACAACC